GAGACTGTGGTGGGCTACCTGGGAATCCCCGAGGGGTCCGGGGTAGTCCAGCCACGGGTGGAGGTGAGATTGTGCAAGGAGATGAGTCCAGGGCTGGACTCAGGGAACCCTAGCATTTAGAGGGTGACCAGACTTCCTCATGTGTGGATGTGGGGGGCCCTGAGCCCTGGTAAAAGCAACAGATTCAGTTATGTGAAAAGTTAAATCTTTGTGCAACAAAATAGATCAAAATGTTTAGTAGGGCTCCAGTCCTTTAGCATCGGTTAACCTGAGTCACCTCGTAAAGGCCCATCTCTGAACCCAGCACACTGGGCATTAGCACTTCAGCACGGAATGTGGGGGGACACGATTCAGTCCACAATAGCCACGTGCCCTTGCTAATAACCAGGGAAATGCACCTCAACACTAGGACCTGTTTTATTTTTATGATCTTATATTTCATATAAATTATGTATGCATACCTTTATATCTGCACGTGTTTATTTTTATTTCTTACAATGATTAGTCACAGTCGGGGTGGGCGGCAGTGCTGGAAGGGCACAGGGAATCTGTGTGGACGGCCGTCCTGGGTGAGAGCTTGTCGCGCCCTCAGGAGGACGGCCTGGCCCCTGTGCGTGGTCTGGGGTCCTCGTTCTCTAACTGCCTCTGGACGCACTTGCCCCGACTCGGCTGCACGAGGGTGGTCCTGGGCCTGGCTCCTGAGCGTGCATGACCGGACCCCCCGGGTGTGGCTAAATCAAGGAGCATCCGCTCTCTGCTCTGCTGTGATGTGATGCAGGAGGGGGTCACCCGGCACGTGGGGAGGAAGAGAGTGGACAACAGCGACAACCCGGAGGCGGGACCGTCGTGGCACGAAATGCTTTATAAAGAAAAGGTGGTGGCTGCCCGCCTCTGGGGCTGGGGACCACTCTCGGTGTCCTGTGGGCTCGTCACTTAGTTCCTGCCTCAAGGCCTTCACACTTGCCACTTTTCTACCTAAAATTTCTACCCCCTTCTCAGGTCTCAGCTTGAATGCCACCTCCTCAGAGAAGCCTTCCCGACTGCCCTGCCCGACGGAGCCCCCGGGGCTTGCCCATTTTATTTCCTTTGGCGCCGCATCCTTGTCAGGAACCTGTGTTCACCCCTCACTGTCAGCTTGGGAGGGCGGACCTCATGTGGTCTTGGATTGGTGCTGTCTCTGCAGAGGCTGGAACGGACCCTGGCATGGCAGTGGTGCTCAGCAAACATCTCTGCGGGCCACCCCCAGAGGAGTGGCGCACAGTTTGTTTGGATGGTGCTTTTGTGGCTCCTGGGCCTGCCAGCCTGGCTCGGCCTGTTGATCGGGCTGAACCCCCCTGCAAAGCTCCCAGGAGCCCACTGCTTCCTCAGCACGTGGCCAAGGTGGTCTCTGCCAGGTCTGTTGACAGCCTGGGGGGCACGAGACCCTGGACCAGTGCCCTCATGCCTCTGGGCCTCAGCTTCCTTCCCGTAAGATGAGGTTGACCAGGTGACCGAAGGCAGGTGGAGGCCCCAGAATGGCACGGTGTCCCATGCAACAGAAAGGAGGTGTGCACGGGAGCACCGTCCACACATGCAGCCCCTGGGTGGGCCTCAGGGGCTGTGCAAGTGAGGAGTCAGCTCCAAAAGGCCACGCACTGTGGAAGGCCACAAACGTAGCATGACAGAGATGACCAGCTCAGTGGACACCAGGGCAGGGGTGGCCAGGAGAGAGGTG